CCCGAGTGCTGGGATTAAAGGTGTGCGCCACCAACGCCCGGTGACATCTGATTTTTTTATTCATGATAGAATGACTTAGACAACACAGATCATGGACATAAACATGGATTCTGGACACAGAAGGGATCGTGGACATTGACAGGGATTCAAGTGGCAGCATGGACCACAGAAATTCCATGGCCTTTGGTGGTAACACTGACAATGGACATCAACATGGGCGAGCTCATATCTTGAATTACAAACAGGAAGCCAAAGGAGCGAACGGGGAAGGACAGTGGTACAGCCCCCAGTGACACACCATCTTCAGCAAGTCAATGCTTTCTGAACCTTCTCAAATAGTAGTACCAAATGGAGACCAAGCATTTAAATATTAGAGCCTGTGAGGGACATTCTTATCCAAACCACCACTGTTGTTTTCTTTTTAAAGCATTTGCTTATTTGTTTTTTTTACTTGTTTATTGCATTTTTGAGACAGGGTTCTATATGTAGCCTTGGCTGTCCTGGTACTCGCTCTGTAGACCAGGCTGGTTTTGAACACACAGTGATCCTCCTGCCTCTGCTTCCAAGTTCTGGGATTAGAAGCATTTACCACTAAGTCCAGCATCATCTTATTTTTTAAAAAAGATTATTTTGTTGCCGGGTTGTGGTGGTGCACTCCTTTAAGCCCAGTACTTGGGAGCCAGAGGCAGGTGGATCTCTTTCAGGCCAGCCTGGTTTATAGAGCATGTTCCAGGAAAGTCGGGGAGACACAGAGAAACCCTGTCTTGAAAATCAAAAAATAGCTTCTTCTACTTCGGGAAAACACCAAATGGCAGATGACGCAGCGGGAGGTGCGGCTTCCTGGGAGGCTTCAGCAGCAGGTCTCGGGGCTGAGGTCATGGTCAAGGCCTCGGGGCTTGTGGAGGTAAAGCAGAGACAAGGAGTGGATCCCCGTCACCAAGCTGGGCCGCCTGGTTAAGGACATGAAGATCAAGTCCCTGGAGGAGATCTACCTGTTCTCCCAGCCCATTAAGGAATCCGAGATTATTGACTTTTTTCTGGACACATCTCTAAAGGATGAGGTTCTAAAAATCATGCCAGTACAGAAGCAGACTCGGGCTGGCCATCAGACCAGGTTCAAGGCTTTTGTCACTATTGAGGACTACAACGGTCATGTTGGTCTTGGTGTTAAGTGCTCTAAGGAGGTAGCCACAGCCATCCGGGGGCCATCATCTTGGCCAAGCTTTCCGTTGTCCCTGTGCAGAGAGGCTACTGGGGGAACAAGATTGGCAAGCCTCACACTGTCCCATGCAAAGTGACAGGCTGGGCCGGGCGGTGGTGGTGCACGCCTTTAATCCCAGCACTCAGGAGGCAGAGGCAGGCGGATCTCTGTGAGTTCGAGGCCAGGCTGGACTGACAGCCTCCAAAACAATACAGAGAAACCATGTCTCGTAAAACAAAACAAAACAAAAAGTGACGGGCCGCTGTGGCTCTGTGTTGGTGCGTCTCATCCCTGCCCATAGAGGCGCTGGCATCGTCTCTGCTCCTGTGCCCAAGAAGCTACTAATGATGGCCGGTATTGATGACTACTACAGGTTAGCCAGGGGCTGCACTGCCACCCTGGGTAACTTTGCCAAGGCCACCTTTGATGCCATCTCCAAGACCTACAGCTACCTAAACCCCGACCTCTGGAAAGAGACTGTGTTCACCAAGTCTCCTTATCAGGAATTCACAGACCATCTTGTGAAAGCCCATACCAGAGTCTCTGCTCAGAGGACCCAGGCTCCAGCTGTGGCCACCACATAAGGGTTTTCATACAAGAAAAATAAAGTGAATTAACTCTGTTAAAAAAATCAAAAAATAAAAAATAATTTATTATTCCTTGTGTATGGGTGTTCATGCCTGCACATATGTCTACATATCATGTGAGTCCCTGGTGCTCAGAGAGGCCAGAAGAAGGAGGTTGGGCCCCTTGGATGCCTTGGAGTGGGAATCACATGGGTTGTAAGCTAACATGTGGGTTCTGGGAATCAAACCCAAGTCCTCGAGATGAGAGTTTTTACCCACTGAGTCATCCCTTCAGCCTGTTATGTTTTCTTTCTTTTTTTTTATTCGTTTATATTTGGATTTTGAGACAGGGTTTCTCTGTGTAACAACCCTGGCTGCCCCAGAACTCTCTGTAGACCAGGCTGATATTGAACTCACAGGGATCCACCTGCCTCTGCCTCCCAAGTGCTGGGATTAAGTGCACCACCATAGCCCAGCGCGTCTCTGCTCTTATTGCAGGTACTACATTTCAGAACCACAAGTAAATTCTCAGTATCTCAGCTCCACCACAGATCAATTAATCAGAGTCTCTGAAGATGGACTGGCAGGACATCTTCTGCAAAGTTCCTTAAGTGATGCTATTATGCAGGTGGGATTGAGAATTCCCACCTTAGTGAGTGGTGAGCAGGCACCTGGGCGGAGGTAATTTCATAATCTTTAAACCCAGGAGCGTAAGCTACTGAATAAGTAACTGCTCTCTTCGTCTTTAAGGTACAGAGCCTTAACTTTGTCAACTGTTCTCACTAACAGTTTTAAAACTAACAGTCTAAAAAAACCACCAACTAACTCACCCCCAGCCCAGGGTATATGCATAGGAAACCAATCAAGCATCTCAAAGACCTATTGGTACTCTCATTTCCATGGTAGCTGTTTTCCTACTTTTCTCCTCATTGTAACAGACTACCTAGCAAAAGCGATTTAGAGGTGGGAGAGTTTAAATCTGACCCACACTTTGAGGGGACAGTCCATTGTGGTGGAGCAGGTTTGGAAACAGAAATGCATGGTCGCTGGTCACATGGCATCTGCAGTCAGGAAGCAGGGGGAAGGATGCCGGCACTCAGCTTGTATTCCCCAGTCTGGGGTGTTGGGGTGACGCTGCTCATAGCGAGAACCTAACTGGTGAAACCAATATGCCAGAGGTTTATCCCCTAGGTGATAGTCTCACCTTGTCAAGCAATTAAAATTAACAGTAGCTCTATTCCATTTTTAAAATATTTTATTTGATAGGTGGTGACAAATTAATACCAACATTTGGGTAGCACTCCGCCCCCCCCAAAAATTATTTATTTATTTTTGTTTTCCAAGACAAGGTTTCTCTGTGTAACAGCCCTGGCTATCCTGGAACTCACTCTGTAGACCAGGCATGCCTCAAACTCACAGATCTGCCTGCCTCTGCCTCCCAAATGCTGGCTGGGATTAAAGGTGTGTACCATCACTGCCTGGGAATTTATGTATTTCTAATTTATTTATTCTTTGACAATTTCATAATGTAATTTGGTCATATTTTCCAGCCCCCATTATCCTCTTTTAGACTGTTCCTCTCCCAACAAAGCTCTTTGGCTCAATAAACCCTTAGTCCAACTTCCATGTCCTTTTTGGTGTGTGTGGGGTGTGTGTGTGTGTGTGTGTGTGTGTGTGTGTGTACACATGTGTGTGCCCTTGGCCCAATACATTTATTTGGGTTACTTTCACAAACATTGGTTGGAGGAGTGTTAACACTTAAAACATTGTGGGTGTGTGATATGTATAAGTGTGTGGGAGCTCACTGGTGTCACATTCCAGCTGTGGAGGTCAGAGGGCAACCTCTGGAGTCACTCTTGTAAGCAATGCCTAGGGATCTTTAGGTCTCTACCACCTCAGGGCTGGGGATTACAAATCTGCACTACAAAGCTTGTGGGGGTTTTTGCTTTGTTTTTTTGTTTGTTTGTTTTGTTGTTACAGGCCTCTAGGGAGCAAACTTAGATCCTTCTATAACGGGTCCCAGACCTTAGCACAACTGACTCCATGCTGGCAGTACTTTTCAGGCTGTAAAACTCAGCACCACCTGTCGGGCGTTGGTGGCGCACACCTTTAATCCCAGCACTTGGGAGGCAGAGGCAGGTGGATCTCTGTGAGTTCGAGGCCAGCCTGGTCTACAGAGTGAGTTCCAGGACAGCCTCCAAAACAATACAGAGAAACCCTGTCTCGAAAAACCAAAAAAAAAAAAAAAAAAAAAAAACCAAAAAACCAAAAACAAAAACAAAAAAAGCTCCCCCTGAGAAAGGCTCGGGACTACACTGGGATCCCAAACACCCCGTGTAGTTGCTGGCTGGTTAGTAAGGACTTTCTATCTATTGGGTTAAACCAATGTCCCAGCATTGTACAGACCCCACAACACTGATTCATTGAGCCAGCTCTTCCATCCCTGTCTGTCTGTTTTTTGAGACACCATTTCACTATGAAGCCCTGGCTGGCCTGGAACTCAATCTGTAGACCAGAGTGGCTTAAAATTCAGAGATCCACCTGCCTCTTGACTCCCAAATGCTAGAACTAAAGGCATGTATGACCCGGCCTGTTTCTTAGAGACGGAATCTAACTCATAGTGATGCTCCTGTCTCAGCCTCCTGAATGCAGGGATTACAGGCATGTGGCCTTAAACCCAGTTTTGCTCATTTGCTAACGGGATCTCATGTAATCCAGGCTGGCCTTGAACTTTTGATTCCTCTCTGTTCTGTCCAAAAGCTGTGATCATAGGCATGGTCTACCATGTCCAATTTTATTACTGGATTTTTACATAGGAGTTTGAGGATCTACAGATTTTGGAATCGGGAGAGCAGCCGACCCTTCCATCCCCACCCACTCCATTCCCTCTAGGAGGAATGTCTTGTTTTTCTTTAGTTTTTTTCCTCAGTAGGTGGTGAGCTCCATCATGATGAGGGCAGGTTGTTATTTTAAAACGTTCACTTTATTTATTTATTTTTTCATACCATCGATGCCGGAATCCCCTCGAGAGCTCGATAAACACAGGCACAGCTTCATGAATGACCACGTGGACGTCCCCGCGGAGCCAAAACGCCCGCCACTTTTTTTTTCCTCTCCGGGATTGATTGGCGCCCCCCTCACGTGACCCGCGGGCCTCGGAGCCTCGGGAACCCACGTGGTCCCTCGGAACGCGCGGAGGCGGCGACTGCGCAGCCGCGGCTCTCTGCGCAGGCGCAGGCGCAGCCGCGGGCCCCGGCGCACGGCTCTGCTGGCGGTTGGCGAGAGCGGCAGCGGCTGAGCTGGAAGCCGGCGCCATGGTGGAGAAGGAAGAGGCCGGCGGCGGCGGTGGCGGCATCAGCGAGGAGGAGGCGGCGCAGTATGACCGGCAGATCCGCCTGTGGGGACTGGAGGCCCAGAAGCGGTGAGGGGCGCGGGCGGGCTGGGACCGGCGAGTGGCCCGGAGGGAGCGGGCGGGGCCCGTTTGCAGAGCTGCGGCGGGATTGAGGCATCTGGGTTCCCTAGCGACTCGGAGAGAGCGCACGCCGGCTGTTTCAGGGAAGTCCGGGAGATGGAGACGTCCCCCGGGTGGAAGTGCGAGTGTCCTCGGAGGAGGCGGGGAAGAGGGAGGATTCGAACTCGAGGCTCGCCCAGCGTCGGCATCGGGCGAAGGTGGTGGGGTTTAGGGAGGGGGGCTTTTTAGGGCGTGGGAGGGGCGTGCGTGCGCCAGGGTTTTGGCTGAGCATTCAGTGGGAACCCGTGTTGGAAGCCCTGGGGACCTGGCAAACCTCACAGGCTCCTCTGGCGAGGGTTTGGGGGCATGTCCCCACAAAGGGACGTCTAGAGAGGCTCAGAGTGGCCGGATTTATTGAGCACACTGCCGTGGGTGCCTTCCCCCCCCCCACACACACCCGGGACAGCGTTGGTCGTTGTAGTCCTGGAACTCGTTCTGTAGACCAGGCTGGCCTCGAACTCACAGAGATCTGCCTGTTTCTGCTTCCCAAGTGAGTGCTGCGTTAGAGGAGTGTGCCACCACGGACAGCTTCTTCAAGGGACTATTACTTATTTTCATTGTTGTTGTTGGGCATGGTTTTGCACGTCTTTAAATCCAGCATTCTGGAGGCTGAGGGCATCGTTCTTTGTGAGTTCAAGGCCAGCCTGGTCTGTATGTTTCCAGGACAGCCAGGGCTACACAGTGAGACCCTGTCTTAAATCAAGCAAATTTTTTTTTTGTTATTGTTTTTCGAGACAGGGTTTCTCTGTGGCTTTGGAGGCTGTCCTGAACTAGCTCTCTTGTAGACCAGGCTAGTCTCCGAACTCACAGAGATCCACCTGTGCAACACCACCACCCGGCAGCAAATTCTTTTTATAGCCCAGGCTGGCTTGCAGAGATCCGCTTAGCGTAGCCTCGCAAGTGGTGGTGTACATGCATGCACCGCTACAGTTTAGCTCCCTAAGCATTTTGGTGGTGGTGGTTTAGAATTTTATGTATTTGTTTATGTGTACGTGCTCTATGGTGTGGATGTGGGTACCAAAGGACAACTTTGTGCAGTGGGTTCTGTTTCACCTCTGTGGATTCTGAGGTTTGAACCCAGGTTGCCAGGCTTCTCCTGGGCCTCCAAGACAAGCACTTTACTTGGAGAGGCATTGTGCTCTTGGAGCGTTTTCCACTGAGCAAACTAGGCTCCTTCTCCACTTGAAGCTTATGTTCTGACGGGGACTGAGGCCAGTATTCATAAGTAAGAAGGTTCCAAAATAATAAGGCTCCAGGGTGGTGGCGCACACTACCCAGCATTAAGGAGGCTGAGGATGGAGGAGTGGGCTCAAGGCTAGCTTGCAGCACATAGTGAGCTTGATGCCAATCTCGGCTGTATAGTGACACCTTACCTCAAAATCGAAAATACTGCCAGGCATGGTGGTGCTAGCCTTTAATCATGTCAGAGTCAGGCCAGCGAGCTGTACATTGATGAGGTGGCTCCCAGTGCTGGGGAGGTTGAGGAGGGAGATGCCATATAGACCAGATGTGCCGGTGTGTGCCTGTAAGCGGAGCAGTCAGCAGGGAGATGCAGGAAGGTAGGAAGTTCAAGTCTGGCCTTGGTGTGATGGCGTGCACCTTTATTCCCAGTGAGCTTGAGGCCAGCTGTTGTACATTGTGAGTTTGAGGCCATCCTGGGCTACATAGTGAGAGCCTCACTTTTGAAGGGGTGGGGGAGTGCCTGTGGGGTGGGAGAGGTAGACGCTTGCGGTAGACTTGATTTGGTGACTCACAACCACATGTAACTCTAGTCCCGGGGAATCTGACATCCTCTTCTGGTCTTTGTGGCACTGCACACATGTGTTGCACATGCATGCACTCGGATGTTAAAATCTCTGAGATAGCATATGAAAAGCTCCTACACTCAGAAGATATCAGTAAATTCTCTGCAAGTGTGAATAATGAGCAGCAAAGAAGGGTAAGTAAGCCAGGCCGTGGTGGCTCTCACCTTTAGTCCCGGCACTCGGAGGCAGAGGCAGAGGCAGGCGGATCTCTGTGAGTTCGAGGCCGGCCCGGTCTACAAAGCTACACAGAGAAACCCTTTGGGTGGGGGAGTAAAAGGAATGTTGAACCACTGACATCCCCAGGAGGTTTTAAGAACAATTAGGGTTTCAGTGCTAGGGATGGAATCACATGCTAGGTATGTGTGTTTCACCTGGGCTACAAATTCTCCAGCCTCCCAGCCAATGGCAGCAAATTGTTTATTTTTCTCCTTTGAGACAGGGTTTCATTCCAGCCCAGGCTGGCATCAAAACGGAACAGTCCTCTTGCCTGGTGCTGGGAGTAGTGGACATAGTTATGATCCCAGTGCTTCCAAGGTGGTTGTAGGAAGGAGGGTTAGGAGTTCAAGGTCAACCTGGACGACATGAGATTATTTTGAAAACAAAACAGTTAATTTCTGTTTTATTAAGCCGTTTCCCTCTGAGGATTTTAGTAATGTAGCACAATTATAAAGCATAGAGCTTTACGTTCTGTCGGTGAAGTTTCATCTGAATTTGGCCTGAGGTTTGTCTTTTGGCAAATCACTTAAGCATGCTGTTTCAGACTTCCTCATTGGTTGAAGCAACCTATGTGTAAGCTGGGCGTACAGCTCAGCTGGTAGAGTGCTTGTTTAGCTTATATAAAGCCCACGGTCCTTCTCTAGCACTGCATAAAAAAGAGCTCAGTAGATCATGTCCATAATCTCAGTCCCATCTCTCCTTCCTGAAAACACAAAAACACCCCACAAACATTAGAAGGTCATTATGGGCTGGCTTCTAGGAAAGTAGCACTTTGTCTGGTACCTAATGAATGTGTTTGAACTTGGAGGGGGCAGGTAGGATCCTTCGATGCCAGCATCCTTTGTTGGAAGCAGCCTTAGTTCCTGCAGAGGGAAGCTGTTTGGCTTTAGCAGTTTAGCAGGGGAAGAACGCAGAACTGAGATGAGAGGACCTGCAGAACTGAGTGTCCAGTAGGGAACTTGGAGAGAGACACAGACCATTCAAAGCTTTGAACAGCATGACTAGATGTAGCTCACATTGTAAGGTCTGCCTGGCAGGCTGTTCAGTGGTTAGAAATAGGGACACTGGGTTGGTTGTAAGGGACAAATGGAGGCAAGGAGGCCGAATTATTTATTTCAACAGGGTCTCCTGTAAGCTGACTTGGCCTTACACTCACTCTGATCACCTTGAACTGCTGATTCTCCTTGCTTCTACTTCTGTCTCTGGAGTGCTTAGATTGCAAGTGTGTGCTCGGGATAGAATCCAGGGTTTTCTGCAAACTGGGCAAGTACTCTGCCAACTGAGCCTTAGCCACAGCTCCTTTGTTTTTGTACCTCTAACAGGGCCAGGTGGTGGTGGCACATGCTTGGGAGACAGAGGCAGGCGGCTTTTTCTCTGAGTTTGAGATCAGCCTGGTCTACAGAATGAGTTCCAGGACAGCCAGGGCTGTTAAACAGAAAAACCCTGTCTCGGAAACAAACAAACAAAAACGCTTACTACTCTCTCTCAGGAGACTGGAATTTGGTTCCTGGTACACCCATATGGCAGCTTACAACTTCTGCCAAGGTTCCTACACACACACACACACACACACACACACACACACACACACACACACACACACGGCATGCAAGCAAATGCAACAGAAAAATCTTTATTTTTAAAGAAAGAAACAGGGTCTTGCTTTGTTCTTCCTGGGCTCAAGTAGTTATCTTCCTGCCTCAGCTTCGTACATAGCTGGAACTCCATGTGCTTGCTTCCTCCTGGGTCCTGTTGAGTTTTGTGGGTGAGAACTGGTAATTGCATAGGTTAGGGTATAGTTTGGGCAAGTGGGAGGATGTGGGTGAGCCACACTGTTGTGCCTCAAGCTTCATTGGCTACCGTGTTGCCCCTGTGCAAGCTTGTGTATAATTTTTGTGCCCAGCCCCTGTGCAAGCTTGTGTATAATTTTTGTGCCCATGTACAACTGCAGGATTGATTCCTAGAAGGGGAATTGCTACTTCAGAGAGTATGAATAATGGCTACTTCATTAAGTGCTGACTGTGTGCCAGGTAGTGTTTTAAGCCCTTTTCACATAATTGAGCCATAAGTAAGCTGTAGTCTCTGGGGTCCTCGTGTGTGTGGTTAAGATTAAAAATGTGATACTCATTTTTGGTTGCTGCTGAGTGAAGTGAACAATTGCAGACCACTCACTCTGAAGAGCTATGTCGTAATGATTGTGGGGTGGGGAGCCGAAGCCCTACAGTTACCTGAGATGGTCAGAACCCATTTCTTTTTGTAAATCTGTACATACAACAGCTCTCTCTTGTATTTTCAGCTCTGTATGTGTTTTGAGACAGGGTCTCACGGTGTAACTCAAGCTGGTCTGGCGCTTCTTTGGCGTGCTGGGATTACAGGTGTGAGCTAGCTCCCAGCTAGCTTCGCTCTGCTTTTGAACCTCCCGCTTCAACCTCTTGAGCAGCTGGCATGACAAGCCTATTCCTTTAGGCCTGCCAAAGACCTTTAATGTTGCTGCAAGGAAAGTTCTGCAGTGGTCATTTTCCCCTGAGTGTGCCATGGTAGGAAAGGCCCTGGGGCTGGCAAGCTTGCTCTTCGGGTAAAGGTGTTTGCTGCAAAGCCTGTCAAGTTTCAGTCTCAAGGATCCACAGGATGAAGAGCAGAGTGGACTCCTGAGTTTCCTCTGACCTCCACATAACGGCCATGGCATGCATCCACATGAAATAAATAATGTACTAAAAACTTTAAGCCAGGCATTGGTGGCGCACACTTTTAATCCCAGCACTCCGGAGGCAAAGGCAGGCGGATCTCTGAGAGTTCCAGACCAGTCTGGTCTACAGAGCAAGTTCAAGGACAGGCTCCAAAACAATACAGAGAAACCCTGTCTCGAAAAAAAAAAAGAAAGAAAGAAAGAAAGAAGCCGGGCGTTGGTGGCGCACACCTTTAATCCCAGCACTTGGGAGGCAGAGGTAGGCGGATCTCTGTGAGTTCGAGGCCAGCCTGGTCTACAAGAGCTAGTTCTAGGACAGCCTCCAAAGCCACAGAGAAACCCTGTCTCGAAAAACCAAAAAAAAAAAAAAAAAAAAAAAAAAAAAAAAAGAAAGGGTCTCAAAGCTCAGGCTGACCTCAAGCAAAGGATGACCTTGAATTTCTGATCCAGGTCCTTGAGATACAGGTCCAGCTTTCCTTTTGTTTTCAGCTTTAGAATTACATAGTGCTATAACCCAGGTTGGCCTCACACTCCCAATCCTTCTGCCTTAGGCTCTTGAGTTCTGGGATAGTAGGGACGCACCCTGACAGCCACTGTGCTTATTAAAGATTCCTTAATGTAATTCTGTGTAAGCACTGGTGATCATCGGGGTATTTTGGAGAAGAGCCCCTGCTGTTCTCCAGGTGCCGGCACTTGTACAGAGCTGGCCTACTGCTGTCTGGCAGGCCCAGGACTGCACTGGGCTTATAGAAGCTTTGAGTCCTCAGCCCCCGATGTGGTGGCAATGGACTGCACTCCCTGATCCTTAGTGCCTTGTCCGCAGTACAGAAGCAGCGTCTGGATCGCCTTTTCAGACTTGGTAAGTTCTGAGTTTAGATATCGTGGGTCAAGACTTTGAGATGCTGTGACTCAACCCTGCCTCACAACTGGGTTGCTTTTTGTATTTTGTCTCATTTTCTTTCTCTTGGCAGAGATTAAAACAAATTCTCTGCCTATTATTTTTGTTATGATCAGGTGGCCTCAAACTAACTGTGTAGCCAGCAGACTCTGAATGAAGTCTTATCCTGTTTCCACCTCCTCAGTGCTAGGATAACAGGTGTGCGCCCACTCCTTATTCTTCCTGGTTTTCTGAGACAGGGTTTCTCTGTGTAACAGTCCTGGCTGGCCTGGAACTCACTCTGTAGACCTGGATGGCCTCAAACTCACAGACATCTATCTGCCTCTGCCCCGAGTGCTGGGATTAAAGGTAAGGTGTGTGCCACCACCACCCAACACACCTTCATGTTCTTTTTTTTTTGGTTTTGGTTTTTTGAGACAGGGTTTCTCTGTATTGTTTTTGGAGGCTGTCCCAGAACTCGCTCGGTAGACCAGGCTTGGTCTCGAACTCACAGAGATCCTCCTGCCTCTGTCTCCTGAGTGCTGGGGTTAAAGGCGTGCGCCACCAACGCCCGGCTCCACCTTCATGTTCTTAAACACATACTTTCATACCACTCTTGTGTTTTGCTTGTATGCTCCAGGTTAAACAATGCTTTTGCTGAGCCGGGGTTATAACTCATTGGTAAGCGCTTGCCTGCTGTGCAGGAGCCTCTGAATTCAGTCCGCAGTTCCATAAAATATGCTTGCCCATTTTTTATCACCTTTTTGGTCACCATGCTAGTCTGAGCGGGTAAACACACACATCACCTTGGTCTTGTGTTAACTGTGGCGTCCTCTCCCTGCCCTATAGTCACCATGCTAGTCTGAGCGGGTAAACACACACATCACCTCGGTCTTGTGTTGACTGTGGCATCCTCTCCCTGCCCTATAGTCACCATGCTAGTCTGAGCGGGTAAACACACACATCACCTCGGTCTTGTGTTGACTGTGGCATCCTCTCCCTGCCCTATAGTCACCATGCTAGTCTGAGCGGGTAAACACACACATCACCTCGGTCTTGTGTTGACTGTGGCATCCTCTCCCTGCCCTATGGTCACCATGCTAGTCTGAGCGGGTAAACACACACATCACCTCGGTCTTGTGTTATCTGTGGCGTCCTCTCCCTGCCCTATGGCTTAGAATTGAGTCCGGGACCCTTCTGGTGTCCACCGAGCTCGAGTGCCCCACTCACACCTGGCTTCTGTCCTTTGTGCAGTCGTCTCTGAAACAAGTGGAGCCAAGCATCCCCTTCCTGAGCTTGTGTGTTTACAGGGCTGGTTTCCTACGGTTAGGATTCTTTCTTTTCAGTTTTCTATATGTTGATTTGTTGTTTATTTCCTTTGGTTTAAAAAGCACCTCCTCTAGGTTTCTTGTTGTTGTTGAGACAAGGCCTCTGTAATTGAGTCGGGACTTGAACTTCTGGAGGTCCCTCCTGCCTCAGCTGCTCGGTCAGAAAGGTTTTCTTTTTTGTTTTTAAAGATTTATTTATCATTTATGAATACAACACCCTGCCTCCATGTATGTCTGCAAGCCAGGAGAGGGCACCAGATCTCATTACAGATGGTTGTGAGCCACCATGTGGTTGCTGGGAATTGAACTCAGGACCTCTGGAAGAGCAGTCGGTGCTCTTAACCTCTGAGCCATCTCTCCAGCCCCCAGAAAGGTTTTCATCGTTTATCACTGTTCTGTTTAAAATTCTAATCTCCCTTTGTCCTCTTTTTACTTATTTTTTGTAGTTTTGGGGATCCATGCAGGACCTCATGTGGAAGGCAGAATTGTACCCCTGAGCTATATCCCCAGCCCCATAACTCTTAACCTTATGCTTGGAGAGCTAGCTGCATTGTCCACTGCTCTGTTTGCATGCCGTGGTGGGTGCTCAGTGAAGAAGTAATTCTGTGCAGGATTGTTTGAAACACTTTCTAGGTCTGAAGGTTCGGTGGTGCTTCAGTATGTATTGTCACAGTAAAGTTTTCTTTACTGTCCTGTGATTTGGATTGAGCAAGTCCCATTGTTTGGGGTTAATCGAGTTAACATAGCATGTGTCTTACAGGCTTCGAGCTTCCCGGGTGCTGATTGTTGGAATGAAAGGACTTGGGGCTGAGATTGCCAAGAATCTTATCCTGGCAGGAGTGAAAGGACTGAGCATGCTGGATCACGAGCAGGTATGTATATATGGGTCCCTCTGCTCTCCCTGACTCCCCTCAGTGCAGTGCTGTGAGTGCTGCAGAACTACCCAGGTTCAGAGGCTCTGTGGTTGGGAGACAAAGCCTTCACTTCTGAGCTGCTGATTCAGACGTTCTGGGGTGGTTCAGGAATGGGCACATTTAGAAGATGTCTCAGTTTGATGTGATGCCACATGCCTATCTGTAACTCCAACACTCAGGAGATTGAGGCAGGGCTGCAAGTTCAAGCCGAACTTTTTTTTTTTTTTTTTTTTTGGTTTTTCGAGACAGGGTTTCTCTGGCTGTCCTGGAACTCACTTGGTAGTCCAGGCTGGTCTCGAACTCACAGAGATCCGCCTGCCTCTGCCTCCCGGGTGCAAGCCGAACTTTTGATACATAAGTTAAGGCTTTCAAAAAAAAGTCACAATAATCTGATATATATGGTTCACTAACATTACTTTGAAAAATACTGAATCAAAGAGGAGGTTTATAGATTGCTTCCTCAGAGAGAACAGTAAGCATGCAGTGTAAACTGATGGTACATTGATGGCACGTTCCTGTAATCCCAGCTGTGAAGAAGCAGGGGCAGGTTTGCAGTCATATTGGGGTACATACCAAACTCAGGCAACAAGCACTTAAAAATGAAAGAAAACCTCAGGAGATACGTTTCTTTGAACAAGCTGTCAAGACAAAGGCTGTGTCTAAGACTGCAGTGCCCTCTAGAGGCAGGAGCACATCCAGAGGAGGATTAGTAACCTATCAGCAGGACTCTTTGTAACTGGTAGCTCTTCTTATTATGTAAATGGGGTTTCCTAAACCATCGTCTGGCTGTGGGATTACAGTGGGTCTGTCTTATACCAAGGGGTGTGTGGTGTGACTCTGATACCTTGTCAGAAGGGTGCCACCAGGGGCTTCCAGTGTTGGGTGCACAGGCTGATTTTCTCTCCCTACACACTAGGACGGCCACAGTGCCTCCTTCTTTCTTGAAGTAGTGGTCCTCAACCCCGGCTACATTGTAGAGAGCCCAGGTAGTGATAATAAAAAAAGCGTTCAGTGGTTGGAGTTAGGAATGATTTCTTTTTTCTTTTTCTTTTTTTCTTTTTTCTTTTTTGTTTTGTTTTTTCTTTTTGTTTTTGTTTTTCAAGACAGGGTTTCTCTGTATTGTTCTGGAACTTGATCTGTAGACCAGACTGGTCTCTAACTCAGAGATCTGCCTGCCTCTGCCTCCTGAGTGCTGGGATTAAGGTGTGTACCACCAATGCCTGGTGGAATTAGATATGATTTCTAATGGACTTCCTGTAGACTAATGCTGGTCAGCTCAGTCCCCATCAGATAATTTTTTTCCTAAGTGAGAAGTTTTATTAGAACAGGAAAAGAGGAAAGAGGAAAAGAGACACAGAGACAGAGAGAGGACAGAAGGGAAGAGGGAGATGGGGGGAACTGCAGGGAAGAGGGCCCATCCGATAAATTTGAACAGTCCATAACTTCTCCGTGCTTTTCCTCCTACGATTCTCCTAAGAACACCCTGGGAGGCAGTGGCACAAAATAGTGTAGAAAGCTATGGAATCATGAGGACTTGACTGTAGAAACAGGGAGTTGTTTGTGGAGTTTTACATGATCAAATGAAGGGCCCTGATAGACTCTTAGACACAGCTGTAGCCTAGAGAGTCTTGTAGAGAAGAGCCAGGGTCTGGGAGCTCAGGGCAGTAGACCATTATGTGGTTGGTATTACCTGTGGACATGTCTGTGTACACAGAGGTAAAACAGTCAGTGGTTGAACCAAGATTTGAATCTAACCTGGATGGTCCAGGACCATTGCCCTTAATCATAGATTCTAGCCTTGCAATAGGGAATGATCCCGGAAGAACAGGATGTGGTGACTTAAAAACATGACACTGGGAGAGGGTTGCTCTGAAAAATTGGCCCTTTTTCTTTTCTTATTTCTTGTTTTTTTCTAGACAGGGGTTCTCTGTGTGGTTTTGGAGTCTATGGCCCATTCTCTTCACACTGAGGAAGAATGGGTGCTTTGGATAGTTGGTAGGAAATTGGGGGGTGGTGATGGGGGAGATGTGTAGACCTGAAAGGGCGGCCACACCCCTTTGAGTGTGGCTTCAGGCAGATGGAAGCAGAAAGAGGAGCTTGAGGCGAGGCTTTCCTTTTCCGCTTCTCTGGTGGGTCAGCAGATCCGGTAGGAAGAGCAGGGAAACGCTCTGGTGGTTCTTTGTATTTTTCTGTGGAATTGTCCCCAGTAAACACCCATTTATCATTTATCTTGGGTCTGTGATGTAATTACATCCTTGCCTTCAGGGAGATGACTTATTAGTTCTGGTGAGGTGGTAAAGTCATTTGCTAAATTAGATATTTTGTATGTGAAATACTTTGAATGATGCAGAATCTGCTTGCTAGTAGTCCTGCCTGGTCTGTCTTTGAGGCTCCTCTGACCTTTAATAATGAAGTCAATTTCTCTTCTTGCCTCCACTCCCTCCCCCACCCTGTGGGGTGGGGTGCCTCCAATTCAGGGAGGTCAGACTTGGGGTCCCATGTGTGCTAGGAAAACACTTTACTATTGAGCACTAGTAACCAGCCAGTCGTTTCGTTAGCAGTTAAAAATTTGAACACATTTAAGTCAGGCAGGTGGTTCTCTTGAGTTCGAGGCCAGCCTGGTCTACAGAGTGAGTTCCAGGACAGTCAGGGTTACAGAGAGAAACCCTGTCTGGAAAAACAAATAAAATCAGAACAAATTTAAGTAGAGATCTTAGACTTTGCTTGGAGAGAGTTTCCCTTGTAAACACAAGGGGGTGCTATTTAACCAGTTTTAAAAAGTTAAGGATCCTGTGTTAAAGCCTCGGAAGGACGAGCAGTAGGAGCCGGTCTTAGAATTGCGGTTGGTGTGATGACACTGACCCAAAGCACTTAGAAGAAAACGTCTCTCAGCTGCACTCAGCTCACACTCATGACTGAGGGATGTCAGTGGAGCAGCTCATAGGGAATACTGCTTAGACAGTATAGGAACGCCTGCCCAAGGGTACCACCACCCACAGCGAGCTAGGCCCTTCTGTATCAATCATTAATCAAGAAAATGCCCCACAGACTTGCTTGTAGGCAATCTGATGGCATTTTCTCATTTTGAATTCGCTCTTCCCAAATAATTCTAGCTTCTGTCAAGTTGACAAAAAAAACAAAAAACAAAAAAACAAACAAAAAAAAATCTGACATCACTATTCAACTATAACTTTTCCAATATGGTGTTAATATTAATACTATAATATAAAACATCCCAACTTTTTTTTAACCCCCTGAGACAAGTTTTCTCTATGTTTGGAGCCTGTTCTGGAACCCAATCTGTAGACTAGGCTGGCCTCAGAGTGCTGGGATTAAAGGCATGAGGCACTACCACCTGGCTACCCCAATTTTCAAAAGTCCCTGGACTTTGTAGATCAGGCTGGCCTCAAACTCACAGAGATCCACCTGCCTCTGCCTCCCAGTGCTAGAATTAAAGGTCGCACGCAGCTTGAACAGGTTTCTGTAGGGATAATAATAATAGCAGCTGGTTGTGGGCATTTTAGCATCCATATAGATGCAATGTCTTTGAGATTTGCATTCCAGAAAGACTCAAGAATTAAGAAAAAAATTTTTTTCTAGGTATCTCCAGAAGATTCTGGAGCTCAGTTCTTAATTCGGACTGGGTCTGTGGGCCAAAATAGGGCTGAGGCCTCTTTGGAACGAGCCCAGAACCTCAACCCCATGGTGGATGTCAAGGTGGAGACTGAGGCCGTAGAGAAGAAACCCGAGGCATTCTTCACTCAGTTTGATGCGGTGAGTCTCTTGGGGTTAAGTCCGGTGGGAGAGTCAACAGGCTCAAGTAGTAGTGGGAACTGAGTGGGGGCCACATTGTGACCCCAGTGCTTGGGAGCAGAGCAAGAAGGACTGCTCCAGGCTTGAGGCCAGCCAGGACTACACAGCAAGATTAACTGCAGGTATGCTAGAGCTTTCAGATCACACACTCTGAGCTTTCCTCTCATGTATGTCTGTAAACGTCTGCTCTTCAGGCTTGACACGATGCTGTGTAGGTCCAGGCTGCTGGACCTGTTGCGGTTGTCTGTGAGGTGCCTGCTGTCTGCTGCGCTTCTCTAGGCTACGTTCCCCAGACTAAGTTTCAGCATTAGTATTTTTATCTTCCCTTCAGAATCTTTGCTCCTGTGTTCTCCTGAAAGCTTAAGTCGTTGGTTAATTTTGTTGCCAGCTGCACTCATTTTGTTAGAAGTATCAATCTGCAGCTTGTGTTTTGTGTTAAGGAAGAGCATACCTAGCCAAGCTTGGTGGTGCATGCATATAATCCTAACGTTTGGCAGAAGGAGGCAGGAGGAGTAGGAGAGCAAGACTGAGTTGAGGCCAGCCTGGGCTACATAAGACTGTCTTTTGCGGAGTGGGTGGGGATTCAAGCAGAGTTTCTCTATGCAACCCTAGCTGTCCTACAACTTCCTTTGCAGATCAGGCTGGCCCCGAACTCTGAGATCCACCTGCCTCTGCCTCCCAAATGCTGATACTAAAGGCATGCACCACCATCATGGCTGTCCTTGTCTTAACAAACTAAAGATGACCCAAAACCCAACATCTATCTGATTATTGTGCCTTTTTTTGGGGGGGGGGTTTATGAGACAGGGTTTCTCTGTATTGTTTTGGAGGCTATCAATCCAGCCCGGCCTCGAACTCACAGAGATCTGCCTGCCTCTGCCTCTCGAGTGCTTGGATTAAAGGCTTGCGCCACCACTGCCCGGCATGTGCCTTCTTTTTTTAACATAGCCACTTTGGCCGTGGACTTGACAGAATAACTACAATGATAAACCAGATGAGGCATACCCAACCTCATCTACTCTCAGTGCTGAGGATTACAATTATGTGCTGCCATACTTGGTCACACACATAAACGAACAGGTAGCTGTGGTGGTGCATACCTTTAGTCCTAGTGCTTGGGAGACAGAGGCAGGGCTGGTCTACAAGAGTGAGTTCCAGGCCAGTAAGCTTAGCACTGAGAGAACACCTTTAATCCCAGCACTCGGAAGCAGAGGCAGGCAGATCTCAGTGAGTTCTAGGCCAGCCTGATCTACAAAGTGAGTTCCAGGACAGCCAGGAGTATTACAAAGAGAAATAATACCTTGAAAAAAAAAAAAAGTAAATGAAATAATTCTTTTTTTTTTTTTTTTTTTTTTTTTTTTTGGTTTTTCGAGACAAGGTTTCTCTGTGGCTTTGGAGGCTGTCCTGGAACTAACTCTGTAGGCCAGGCTGGCCTCGAACTCACAGAGATCCGCCTGCCTCTGCCTCCCGAGTGCTGGGATTAAAGGCGTGTGCCACCAACGCCCGGCTTTTTTTGGTTTTTTGAGACAGGGTTTCTCTGTGGCTTTGGAGGCTGTCCTGGAACTCGCTTGGTAGTCCAGGTTGGTCTCGAATTTACAGAGATCTGCCTGCCTCTGCCTCCCCAGTGCTGGGATTAAAGGCGTGCGCCACCAACGCCCGGCTCTTTTTTTTTTTTTTAAGTTTGTGTGTGTGTGTTGGGAAGTTTTTCCTCAAACATGACCTTTGGGTCAGTTAAACTGGTTTTACTTGCTTGATTTTAACAGATTAAATAGTAGTTTAGATTACCTTGATATTGCTGTCTTTCTGAGGAGTGTGAAGTATACCTTACATGTTTTTGGATTAAGGGAACAGATTCTTACGTGGTTTTACTTTCCAGCTAAATCCTCATAGTTGTAAGAAGTGGCCACCATATCATTTACATTTTCTACACCCTGGAACCTGCAACTTCTCTTTGGTCTTTTAATCATAGCACCCCAAAACCTGTTGCACTTGTCTGAAGCCTGCTGGAGAGACAGTTAATTTAAGATTTATGTGGACAGCACGGCAGTGGTTGAGTTTTCAGCTCTCATCGGTCGGTTTCTGTCTCTGCAGGTGTGCCTGACTTGCTGCTCCAGGGATGTCATTGTTAAAGTCGACCAGATCTGTCACAGAAACAGCATCAAGTTCTTCACAGGAGATGTCTTTGGGTACCATGGGTACACCTTTGCAAATCTCGGAGAGCATGAGTTTGTAGAGTAAGTGCTGGGAGGAGAGTGTAGTAGGGAACGTTTCCACAGTTCGAATAGTATTTGTGGTAGGAAATGAACTGCCCCAATGAAGTAGCTTACTTGGCTGTAATATTTAGAGCATTCTGAAACAAGGAATTAACCAATTATTGAATAGAGTGCTTTGTGGCTTCACATTTTTGTTGTTGTGTTTTCAAGACAGGGTTTCTCTGTCTGACTGTCTTAGAACTAGCTTTGTAGACTAGGCCGGCTTCCAACTCAGAGAGCCACTTAACTCTGCCTCCTGAACGCTAGGATCAAAGACGCGCAGTACCGTTCCTGTCTGTGGGTTCAGTGATGGTGATGTCATAGGAAGCCCCGAGCACGAAGAATTGTGGACAGTGCACACTTTGATTGTGTGGGTACCCCAGACTCCTCTGTTTAAGGACTGGAACTCACATGCCGTCCTTGGAATTGCAGCCTGGGTTTTAAACACTTGATCCCTAGTTCGCGCTTCCATGTTGAGAGATGGTAGAGAGAGTACCTGCTGGGCAAGTGGGTAGTCCTTTAGGCACATTCAGCTTGCCTTGGAAAAGCTCCAAGGTCCAGAGCCTACTGTGGTGGAGCACAGACCTTATCCCTCATTTTGAACATGAGACTGCATAGCTTAATAATTCTCACATGACAAGACTTGCAGTAGTTTTTATTTATAGGCTCTAAGTGAAAGGTGGCAGACTAACGTTAGAGATTTTTAAACTATATAAGCTAGGTATTTGGCTACCATTTGTTATATTTTCATCCTCCCTCTCTCTGTCCCCTCCCCCTTCTTTCATCTGAAGTCTACCTTGCAAATGAGTGATACAGAGGAGAGCCCTAGGCCCTATTGGACAGAGCTTGTTATGAAGCAGTACTCTCTAGCCTCTTTAGCAAGGCATTGGTATTTCTTTGGCCCACAAGTCTCTTGTCTGTAAAATGAAACTTTGAGCCATATGGTGGTGGTGCATGACTTTTTTTTTTTTTTTTTTTTTTTTTGTTCATTTCTCTGTAGCTTTGGAGGCTGTCCTGGAACTCACTCTGTAGACCAGGCCAACCTCGAAATCACAGATCCACCTGCCTCTGCCTCCCAAGTGCTGGGGTTAAAGATGTGCATTACCATTCTTGGTCAGGTTTGCTTCTTTAAGTCACAGTTCCTCAAGAATGTTTGCAAAACCAGGGTTTATGGGCATTTGTTTCTGCTGAGAAGTTTGCTTACACCTTCCTCTTCCCCTAATCACACCAGGGACAGCTATTCCCAGAGTGGTTAACTGGCTCACCAGGTCTTCAGTGGCTGAGGTGAGATTTGAACCTAGGCCCATTGACCCCAAAGCTGTCTTGCAGTTTGTTTTTTCCTAGATAGGGTTTTTCTGTTGTAGCCCTGGCTGTCCTGGAACTCACTGTGTTGACCAGGCTGGCCTGGAACTCTGCATTTTTGCTTTTACACATACATAACCTGCTGATAGCATTTTTTGAAATTCATATTCTAGTCATGTGACTTGTGGCTCAAACTTAATACCCTTCTTCTCTTGTCACTCTAGAGAGAAAACCAAAGTTACCAAAGTTGGTCAAGGAGTAGAAGATGGACCTGACACTAAGAGAGCTAAGCTGGACTCATCTGAGACAACCATGGTCAAAAAGGTGACGCCAAGAGCCTGGGTCAGAGCCCCTGGGGCCTTGGGAGGGGCGGGGCCTTGTCAGATGTACTCTGCCCATCTAACCGTATACAGCTGCTGCTCTTCCCTCAGAAGAAAATGGATTTGTTTTCCAAATGAGACTTTTCAAGAAAGTTAGAAATCCTTTACAATTCTGGCAGTCTATTCCAGTTGCTTCAGGTACTGTTCTGGTGTAGCACCATGGTGGCCAGACATAGCAGACTTGTTTAACTTATTTGACATGGAAGAAAGCATCAGTTTTTTCTTCTGGTGTCTGGGGCAGACGTCATTGCATTTTCCCTCCCTTACCATGCACATCCTCCCAATCATTTTCTTTTTTTAGATTGGTATACAGGTCCTAACTGGGCAGGAGCCAGTTAAAGTTGAACTGTTTCTTTGTATTTTCTCCCTTTTCATTCCCTAGTATCTGTTTTCTGTACATAATGTGCACAAGTGTGCCTGGGTGTAGGCTGGGGGTTCATTTTTAATGTCTTGCTCAGTCATTTTTGTTTTTATTTTTTGAGCATTTACTCACTCACTCCCCCCCCTCTCTCGTGTGTGTGTGTGTGTGTGTGTGTGTGAGAGAGAGAGAGAGAGAGAGAGAGAGAGAGAGAGAGAGAGAGAGAGAGAGAGAGACAGACGGCACCATCAGGGACTAGAAGAAGTTAGGCCCTCTCGGACTGGAATTACACAGTTGTGAGCCACCATGTGACCTGGGGAAAGTGTTCAGTAAGTAGTGTTGGCTTTTCAGGTGTGATGACCAAGTTCATTGACAGATTGGGGGCGTGTGGCTAGGCATGGCAGCTTGTGCCCGTATTTAAATCCAGAGCCAGGGAGTGGAGACAAGAGGGTTCCTGGGCTTGCCTGCCAGCCAGCCAGCCAGTGTAGTGAGTTACAGGTTCAGGGATAGGTCCTGTCTCATAAAGATGAAGAGTGGGACTGGAGCTCGCCCTTGGTTGGGACCTGGGTTCAGGTCCCTGTGGCACATAAATGGCAGCTTATGTGTGTAATCCCAGCATTTAGGAGGTAGAGGCTGGGAGTCAGAAATTCAAAGACATGTGCCCCAATTTTAGGTTAGCCTGGGCTGCATGAGACTGTTTCAAAACAGACAGAAAGGTCTTTGTAGTGGTGTGTGTGGTGTTTTCTTGTCCTGCAGCCCACCCCAGTATTGGGTACAGAATCTAGGGGCTTGCACATACTGGGGCAGCAAGATGAGCCTCAAGGCCACCGTGTTCTTAGTGTAGTTTACATTAGGGGTTTAGCCAGTATTTAGGTCTGGTGCAGAGTTTAATCTCATGTTTACAGAAGGCAGTTAGGAAAGGGGTCAGAGGCAGTGGTTTCTGTAGCTGGTGTCAAAGGACTCATACTATACTGGAGAAAACAATTGGTTTTGTTAAGCTGAGAAATGACGCGACCAAGCCCATGTTTACTCTTCACCTTGTGGATTTAAATGTTGAGGGGGAAACCAGCTGGCTGGACTGTCCAGTTAAAGTTGCTCTGGGGTGTTGAGGGTCCATAAAGTGCAGGGTCCACAGAAGTGGGACCAAGGCCTCCCTCCGGCAAGGCAGAGCTGTGCGGTTTCTTTCCCTTCTGTGTTGTGTTGGGATAGCTGTATCTGTGGGCCTGATGCAGAGGAATTATTAAGCTCTAATTTTAGTGTCTATTCACAGGACCGTAATTACGCAGAGTGAACATTAGAGTTTGGGCCAGACCTGGGGTCCTTTCTTTTTGAGGCCCAGTCAGGCTTTCTCTGCATGGCTGCAGAGTTTGGTGGGGAAGAGACATTGTTAACCAATGGAGGGCATAAAAGGAGCTTTGTGGGCGGCTCAGTCAGTTTATAAATCACACCCTCTTACAAGTGTGACATTTGGCCCTGCTGTGAAGGGTTTTATGGCTTAAGGGCCTTCTCTGATTGAGGCCTGCTTTTTGCATTCAGACAGAAAAGCCCTGGCTTTGTTAGCCATTCACAGCTGGAAGTGTCCCTGGAGTCACTTCTGGTAGTGCCCTCTAGGGTGGACATGGAAGCCTCTTTTGGGAGCCACTTTATCTCACTGTGAGGAGACTGTGGGGAGCCCAGGCCAGCACTTGGCAGCCGGGGTGCCATCCTGAGGCCCTGCGGGCGCATTGCCCTTAGTGCCGAGTCTTCCTTCACAGGGGACAGAAACCAAAGACATCAAAATACTCCCCAGCTGACCTTGTGTTGTTAGTCAGCTGTTACAATGGGACTGTTGAGCCAGGATTCCAGCCCTGAGCCCTTGAGGGTGCACAGCATGCGGCACATTCCTTCTGACAACCCCCGGATTCCAGACCCTGGCTTTCCTGGTGTGCCTCACCAAGAACAGCGTGAGGCAGGGTGTGGCAGGGTGTGGGCCTGTGGCTTTGCCACCTGGTAGTAAGAGCTGCTCCACTTGGGCAGAGAGGGCCTTGGGATTTTATTTTATTGCTAATTTTTTGAGACAGGTTATCACTGTGTAGTCCTGACTGAGCTGGAACTCAGAATGTAGACCATGCTCACCCAAGTCTTCCTGCTGTCTCTGCGGGCTGGGCTTAAAGCTGAATCCCGCCAGGCCAGGTGGCTCTGGGATTTTGAGGTTCTGTGCAGCTGAGAAGTTCCTCCACCCAGATTTTAAGGCATCCTAAATTGTACAGAAGAGCTAGTGGAGCTCTACTCAGAGATTGCAGGATGGGGTGGGGGAAGCAGCTACTTCCTGTTTCCTGTGAAAGGTCTTTCAGTCCCCCTCTCCTCCCACTTGTCCTAGGTTCAATCAAATGTTGTAAAACCACTTTGGGTTCAAGGTACATGGTGTGCTCCTAAATTAGAAACTTCAAGAAACAAAGAGGAAAAACAGACCTTGTGGTTTTCACACATCTAGGAAGCCTTTCTAGCACACGTGTGTCTGTAAAATAGGAAAAGTCTGACTGGAGGCAGCTGGCACTCAGGAGTTTGTTAGCAACTTTTCATATTTTGTTTTTTAAATCACACTTGTTTGCTCTGCATGCCTGCGTGCGTGTGTGCTACCATTGAGCTACAGCCCTAACCTTCCCTTTAGATTGTGGTCTCTGGGCTGGTGAAATGGCAGTGCGGCGGGTAAGGGAGCACCAGAGTAGAAGCCCTCTAAGCTGGATCCCAGGACACACGGCGGGAGGAGAAAATCAACTGCACATTGGCCGCTCACTTCCATGTGAACACACAATAAATAAGTAAAAAAAAAAAAAATGAATGAGCAAGCTTTTAAAATACGAGATTTTAGTATAAGGGCAGGGAAGCTTTGTTTATTACCATCCATATTCTTAGGCACGGGAAATACAGTTCAGTGTGGTACCACTTCCTACAGCAGAAAATGACAACCCTGAAGGAGTTTTTTTGGGGGGTGGGTTTCGAGACAGGGTTTCTCTGTATTGTTTTGGAGGCTGTCCTGGAACTCACTTGGTAGACCAGGCTGGCCTCCAACTCACAGAGATCCGCCTCCCAAGTGCTGGTATTAAAGGTGTGCGCCACCAACGCCCAACTGACATTTGTCATTTTAAACCTATAATGGAATGAACTGTGATGAACTACATGGATGAATTTTACAGTACATTAGTTTTTGTACTTAATCAGAGAGAACAGAATTCCAAAGAAGGAATTTGACCAGGAACTGAATTATTGTCAAGACAGAAACCTCTAGGCCAGTGAAGGTTGTGCCCCCCCTAGATGTCAAGATCCATTTGGTTCTCAACCTGTCACAGGAACAAATGACCCTTTCATGGGGGTTTCCTAAGACCATCAGAAAAGACAGATATTTACATTATGATTCATAGCAGTGGCTAAATTACAGTAGTGAAGTAGCAATGAAAATAGTTTTATGGCTGGGTGGTTGTAGTACAAACCCTTAATCCCAGCACACAGGAGGCAGAGGCAAGTAGATCTCTTGAGTTCGAGGCCAGCCTGATCTACAGATTCAGGTCATCCAGGGCAGCCAAGACTATATAGAGAAACTCTGTCTTGAAAAACCAAAAAAAAAAAAAAAAAAAAGTTTTATGATTGGGGCTCCTATAACATGAGTATTAAAAGGTTGCAGCTTTGGAAAGTTGAGAACCACTGGTCTAGAGGTATGCAATGCACTGACTGGTTTCTGCAGAGTATTTGATGAGATACTGGTACCAGGTTTTTCCAGGGAGGGCAGTTAGCTGAGATGGGGAGTGGTGTCTTGCCATGAAGGGAAAACTACTCAGTTCCTGTGAAGGGGACACAGAAAGGCTTAACCCTCATCTCTCTAATAACAGGGAGGAGGGGACTATCTGATTGTTCATCCCTGCCCTCTTTCTCTCTCCATGATTCACAAAGATACCCCAGCTGGATTTGAACTCAGTAGCTCAAAGAGGCCTTGTCTTTCAGTCTTCGTGCTTCAGAATGCTGCGTTTATAGGGTGTACCATTGCATCTATTACCACTGTTAACTGACACATGTGTAAATGTGTATGTTGTTGTATATTTCATGTACCGATACGTGCAGATAGAACAGTCATAATAGAACAAACACTGTCGTCTTTGACAACCACATTCTTAGTGTTAGCATAATAATCTGTAAACCTTTTCTGTATTCTCGGCTTCATTTTACAACTAAACATGGGGGACTCTGAGGCTGCTAGGGTGTGTGAATATATTAAAAAGACACCCGAGCAGGGCAGTGGTGGTGCACGCCTTTAATGCCAGCACTCGGGAAGCAGAGTCAGGAGGAACTCTGTGAGTCTGATGCCAATCTGGTCTTAGAGAGCCAGTTCCAGGACAGCCAGAGCTGTTATACAGAGAAACCCTGTCTCGGAAAAAATAGACAAACAAAAGACCCCTGGAAGGGGCAGGCTCCCACTCACCCTTATTTATTTGCCTCTGAGTTTAATCATATTTGTAGATATAAAGAACTCAGCTTTGGGGAGGAGAGATGGCTTAGTGTTTAAGAGTACATGTTGCTCTTGCAGAGGACCCCAGTTCCAGAGAGTCCAATAGGCATGCATGTGGTGCCCCACATTCACACACCTGAAGTAAATAAATGGTTTGTTTTAAAGTTATTCTAAAAAAATAGAAGAAAGCAACTTTGTATACGGGAGTTTAGGCATAAACTAGACGATTAGGTAGCACCATGCATGCTAAGTAGCAAGCATCTCTGGTGTGGCCGAGCCTTGGCTCTCAGCATAAGCAGTCACTTGCTCTCCGTGTGTCTTCACTGCTGCAGAGCTGGTTTCGTGTTGCACGGATGCTGCTGCCGTGCCACCTGCTTTGTAAGAGCAGCATTGTGTCGGTGAGGCCATCTGTGTGTGTGTCTTTGTGGAGCTTGGCTGTCCTGTGTGGTAGTCACTAGCCACATACGGCTATATAACACTAAGTACAGTATAGAACAGACCCTTTAGTGTTTGATATGCACCGGTAGCTGCTGGCATGGGAGTTGTACAGCATGCATACATGACCTACCCCGTCGTAACAGGACAGCACTTCTGGGCTGCTGTTGTGTGAATACATTACTGTTTGTGTATCTGTACTGTTGATGACGGTCAGGTATGCAAACTTTTCCTGTTAGAAACTGTGCTGCTGTAAGCATTCTGCTTGTATATGGAAGACTGTATATAATCTACTTGGGCAATTGTGTTAATTTCTGCCGGGTAAAATTAGGATAAGGGCATCTTAAACTTTCTCAGATTCTGTTAAATAACTGAAAGTTTTTCCCCCTTTCTCACAATATACCCCAGTCTGACCTTGAAGTTGGCATTCTCTTGCCTCTGCCTCCCACATAATGGGAGTATGCCTATGTCACCACCATAGTGGACTTTTTTTTATTTTTATTTTTTACATTTTTCAAGCAAGTGGTAGTGGCAGTGCCTTTAGTCCCAGCACTTGGGAGTCAGAGGCAAGCAGATAATTGGAATTTCAGGACAGCCCAGTCCTCAGTGAATTCCAAGGGGGCCAGGACTACCCGATCTCAGATAGCCAAAACAAAAATTTTCCACCCTGGGGCTGGAAAGATGACTCAGTGGTTTAGAGCACTTCCAGAGGACCTAGGTTCAATTCCCAGAACCCACATGGCAGCTCACATAGATCCTGTAACTCTAGAATCCAGTATCTACACACACACACACACACACACACACACACACACACACACACACACACACACACACACACACAGGCAAATCACCAAAAACAAATTTTTCCCCTTTATATGTGCATGGGTATTTTGCCAGCATATATGAGATATGAGAGAGAGACAGAGAGAGACAGAGAGTGAGTATACCACATGCAGTTTTTATGGAAGCAGAAGAGGGGTCAGATTCCCTGGGACTGGAGTTACACACATGACTGAGCTGCCCTGTGGATGCTGAGAACCAAACCCAGCCTGATGCAAGAGCAGTCAATACTCTTTGCCCCTGAGCTAACTTTAGCAACTTGTGATCAGTTTTAAATCTGACATAAATCCATGATGTTATAAGTGCATATTTATGTCATTCATGCTTATTTAAATACGGGTTATACATGTGTGCAGATACAGGTTGCACATAGAGGCCATGTGAGGTTTTCTTGGTTGCTGTTTAATTTATATAATGAGGTAGAGTGTCTTGCTTGAACCCAGACCACCAATTCAGCTAGTCTATTTCCAGTATGGGCTTGTGTCAGCCACTGGATAGAACCAGGGTCCTGTTACTGTTTTTATGTGGATGGCCTTATAATATCTGCTTAGACCTTCCACCCAGGACACCCATCTTCTGCATGCTTCCTTGGAAATTCCCTTCCCAGAAAATGTCTTTGTGTGATGGTGAAAGGGTTACTCAGGGAAAAACAAGTGTTGTGTGGGGTTTTAAAAATGTTTATTTTAGCCGGGTGGTGGTGGTACAAGTCTTTAGTCCCAGCATTTGGGTGGCAGAAGCCAGTGGATCTCTGCGTTCAAGGCCAGCTTTCCACAGAGTGCTTTCCAAGATAGCCATGGCTACACAGAGAAACCCTGTCTGGGGGCGGAGGCAGTTTGCTTTATTTTTAATTATGTGTATGTGTGTTGGCATGTTTAGATGCCTTTGTGAGTACTGACCAGAAAGGTTTGAGATCTCTTGGAATAGGAATGACAGGACTATAGGAACTGGACATGGACACCAGGGATTGAACTTGGTTCCTCCACAAAAACAATATGTGTTCTTAATTACCGTGCTTTCTCTAGCTCACATAGCTCTCCTTTGGTTTTTCTAGATAGGGTTTCTCTGTGTAACAGCCCTAGTTGTCCTAGAACTCACTTTGTACACCAACCTGTCCTCCAACTCGGAAATCCACCTGCCTCAAATTTTACTCTTCTTGTATATAATTATAAAGAATGCTGTATTTAATAACTTTTAAGTTTTTGAGACTGAGCTCAAGCTGCGTGGCCATCCTCCTGCCTCAGCCCCCGGGTCCTGGAATTGACCCAGCTGAGTCTGGTTCTTTGGGAGGCTGAAACAGGAGGATCTCTGCAAGTTTGAGGCTATCCTGGTCTGTATAGTTTCAGCCTGAGCTACACAGCGGGACCAAAGAGTGAGCCAGGTCTTAGGAGATTGGCTGTGTCATCTCCCACACAGGGAGCATGTGTCCATCCTTCTGTCCCCAGAGAATGCAGGAAGTATTTCTTAGGTCTTAGTGGGCAGTGGCTACCTAGAATAAGACTTTGAACACTGAAATCTTCTGAGCTGGAAAAGAGCTCCTGCTCTGATTCTAACACAGGCTTGTTCCTAACCTCTGCCTTTTCCCACAGAAAGTGCTTTTCTGCCCTGTAAAAGAGGCGCTAGAAGTGGATTGGAGCGGAGAGAAAGCCAAGGCTGCCCTGAAGCGCACAGCCCCGGACTACTTTCTGCTGCAAGGTGAGGCCTAGAGACGGAGCCACCCAGGCAGGCTCCAGCTTTAATTCTGCACTGTGGCCCAGTGTTGAAGCAGTGTGAGTTTCTGTCTCCTCATCAGGGTAAGATGCAGCCTCATTAAGGTCTGGTTTCTGGTCCTCTCTAAATCAGTCAGAATGACTTGTTCTCCAGAGTTGCCCCTCCAGAATGGCGGTCTCAAACCCTTTCTCCTGAGTTTTGAGTTTTATCTTTTCTTTGAGTTGTTTGCTCTCTTCTTGTTGCAATGAGGCCTCATAGAAGAGCCATGCTAGTTTCAGCTTTAGATGATCCTCCTGCTATCCTACCTGGCTTCTCTCTCACTGAATGAGCCATATTGCAATATGTCTTTGCTGGTATTCAGGGATTTATTTGCAAAATACTGGTTATCTTAGTGTTGTTCCTGTCCCTGACAGTTTCACTTGTTTGTTTGTTTTTCTAGACAGGGTTTCCCTGTGTAGCCCTGGCTGTCCTGGAACTCACTCTGGAGACCAGGGTGGCCTTGAACTCACAGAGATCCACCTGCCTCTACCTCTGCCTCTTCTGGGATTAAAGGTATGTGCCACAAATGCCTGGCTGAGGTTCAGTTTAAAATGCCATTTAAAAAATAATTGTTGGGGGGAAAATAATAATTATTGGGACATGGTAACATTTGCTTATAATCCTAGCACTTGGGATTCAGACACGGGAGGATCATAAAACTCATCCTGGGCTACCCAGTGAGCTTAATGACAGCCTCAACTATGTGAAACGCTGTCTCAGTGAGGAAAGGGACAGAGGGTAGGGAGCTTGAGGGGTGAACTATTTTAAACCCTGAGTGTCCGCTCATACAGAAATATTTAAGTGGGTTAAGTAGGAATGAGTGTTAGGCATGTGAGAAATGCCTCCCCTAAGGACTGTGGAAGCCTGTGTGGAAGAGGTGCCAGCTGTACTGTGAGTATCAGCACCTGCTCCTCTGGGCCAGGGTTCTCTGCAGGCCTTGTCTGGCACAGGAAGGAAGCAGTCGCCCCTAGTTTGCAGCATTTGTGGGTAAGGTGAAACCCTTTCTAGCAATTGCTTCTGAAGAAGCCCCTGAGTCTGTCTGTGTCTGGTAGTGTGACTCTGGTTCTGGTGGTTAGGACTCTGTTCCTGACATCTAGTGGGAAAGGGTAAGTGATGTCACTAAACATCCCCACAGCAACTCCCATGCCGGAAATGTCAATGCAAGCTCTAGCCTCACAACTGTAGTCCTAGCTCTGGGGAAACTGAGACAGGAGAATTATAACAAGTTCAAGGCTAGCATCAGAAACGGGGAAACTGTGTCTCAAAATAAAATAACAAAAAAAGGATGCCATCTCTGAGAATGTAGTTTCTGGGTTTTTTCCCCCATCTATCCCAACATCATAGTACTCTCCTAAAGTGTATAGATGGTCCTTAGTTTGATTTTCATTTGTACTCATTCATTCATTGAAGACAGGTTTCTTTTTGTAGCTCTGTCTATCCTGGAACTCGATTAGAACACCAGAGTAGCATTCAACTCAGATCAACCTGCCTTCTCCTATAGTACTGGGATTAAAGGAGGGTGTAACTATGTATAACTGTCCTAATTAATTAATTAATCTATTTATTTATTGTTTTTTTTCGAGACAGGGTTTCTCTGTGGCTTTGGAGGCTGTCCTGGAACTAGCTCTTGTCTTGAACTCACAGAGATCCACCTGCCTCTGTCTCCTGAGTGCTGGGCTTAAAGGCGTGTGCCACCACCACCCGGCTTTTATTCTTTTTCTTGATAAAGGCATCTTACGTCTTCCTGGCTGACCTGAAACTCATCCTGTAGTTGAGGATGATCTTGAGCTCCTGATCTTTCTTTTGTCAACTAGTGGGATTATAGTCATGTGCCTCCGTGTGGTAGTAGGGATGAACCCAGGGCTTAAGGCATCCTGGACAAGCACTACAAGCGCGGTGGTAGGACTTAACCCTTTGAAGTCTGGGTTAAGTCCTGTGTAGGCATGGGTACCGAGAACATTCAGGTGTCTTCACTTGGAGGGGCAAGAGCTTCCTTCTTAGGTAGCTACATTGCCCAGTACTACTTCAGCTTTCCAGATGCTGGCATTCCAGTATACCTACCAAGCCTGACATTAACTGTAATGTCATGACTATGTGGCAGGCTATGACATGGGTATTTTGTTCCTGTAGTTGTTTGTTTGAGACAAGGCTTCACTGTGTAGCTCTGGCTGTCCCGGAACTCATGTTACCCAGGCTGGCTTTGAACTCACAGAGCTCCACCTGCCCCTGCCTTCCAAGTACTGGGATTAGTGATTTACAGTTTATGAGACCAGGTGTTTGGAATAAAAACTGACCTGACTTTGCTGACCTATTCTGTTATTTTTCTGAGAGGAGTGATCCTTACATCCCCAGGGCCTACAAGTCTATTTTAGTATAAATTCTGAAAGGGGCTGGAGGTATTCCTCTGTACTGAGAGCCCTTGCCTAGCATACACAAGGTCTTCATGTTCAGTCCCTAGCAGCACAGAGAAGGGAAGCTTGTGGTAGACAGCAAAGAAGGAAAGCTGGGCTGCATTCTTGAAACCCACCACCTCGTCACCTTTCCTGATGCAGTTCACCCTCGGCTTCTGGAGAATTGAGAACCGGTGTGCAGAGCGCACCCCTGAGGTCCTTACCCTGTTGAATGAGATAAGGGCAGTGATCTTAGGGACTGCTTTGTTGGCCATCAAAGCCTGTTCCTCTTCCCAAGATGCAGAACTGTCAACTAAACAGCCAGTCTAAACAGGGAGGGGCCGGGTGTGGGGCTCACCCAAAATCCCGGTGGTCAGGAAGCAGAGGCAAGAGAATTGCTGTACCTACAGGAAAACAACAACAAAAACAAAAAACAGTGGATTGGGCAGGAAATGGATTCTAATAATGAGACTCTACGACTAGCTGGAAGATGTGTTGTATTCATAGAACTGTGTAATTTTTTGTCTTTATGGTACTGGATATTCAATTCATGGCCTTATGTTAGGCAAGCTCTTTACCACTAAGTACATCCCCAATCCCTCATCTTGTTTGCTATTGTTTTGTTTGTTTTGAGATGTATTCTTAGTAGAACAAGGCCTGGTGGCACTGGACAACAAATTCCAGGTTCTTAGGAGGCTGAAGCAGGAGGATAGCAAATTCAAGGTCTCTCTACTGTAGAATAATCTCAAGATCAGCCTATACAATTTAATGAAACCCGGTCTCAAAACAAGAAATAGAAAAGGACTGGAGGGCCCGGTGTTGGTGGTGCATGCCTCTAACCCCAGCACTCAGGATGCAGAGGCAGGCGGATCTCTGAGTTGGAGGCCAGCCTGGTCTACAGAGTGAGTTCCAGAACAGCCTCCAAAACAATACAGAGAAACCCTGTCTCAAAAAAAAAAGAAAGAAAGAAAGAAAGAAAGAAAAGGATTGGAGGGTGCATCCCAGTGGTTAAAGTGCCTGCCTTGTCTGTGCAACTGGCCAACTGGCCTTAGGATCCTTAAGCAACTTCAAAAAGAGACTAACATGCAGGGGGTGGTGTCTCACACCTTTGATTCCAGCACTCAGAGGCAGAGGCAGGTGAATCTCTGAGTTCTAGGACAGCCAAGGGAGTTACACAGAGAAACCCTGTCTCGACAAAAAGAAAAAAGGAAACTAAACAGACCATCTCTCTCAAAGAGAAAATACATGACCTAATAAATCACACACCCGCAGAGTTGTTTGAAGTATAAAAATGTACAAAGATAAATATACAAATGAACTCATATTTCACTAGATTATTTAGAAATCAGATTTAAGAGACTGGTCAGTTAATTTCTTCCTATCATCTCCTAGCTGAGTAAACAAAGTCCCCAAAAGGCCAATTGTCTTTTTACCCCCACGACATAGTGTTTCTCTGTAGCCCTCCCTGCTTGTCCTGGAATTCAGTCTGTAAACCAGGCTGGCCTCATACTTGGAGATCCTCTGCCTCTGCCTCCAAAGTTTTGGGATTATAGGTGTACACTGCCACTGCTCAACAGCAAATTGATTTCTTTCTTTTTTTAATATTTATTTATTAATTATGTGTACAGTGTTCTGCCTGCAGGCCAGATCTCATTACAGATGGTTGTGAGCCACCATGTGTTGCTGGGAATTGAACTCAGGACCTCTGGAAGAGCAGCCAAAGCTCTTAACCACTGAGCCATCTCTCCAACCCAACAGATTAATTTCTTTACTCAAGATTCCAGTCAGTTGCCGGGCGTTGGTGGCGCACGCCTTTAATCTCAGCACTCGGGAGGCAGAGGCAGGCGGATCTCTGTAAGTTCGAGACCAGCCTGGACTACCAAGCGAGTTCCAGGACAGCCTCCAAAGCCACAGAGAAACCCTGTCTCGGAAAAAAAAAAAAAGATTCCAGTCAGTTAATGGCAAGGATGCTTCCCATAGCCAGTATCCGCATGGAAGGAAGCTGCTATGCCACCCTGAGAAGTGGGTTGAGATTAACATGATGAGAGTCTCACTGTTGGGGCTGGACACCAGCACTTAGAGCACTGGCTGCTCTTAGAGGGACTGCTTCCTAGCACTCACATAGTGGCGCATAGCCATCCATAACTCCAGTCTCAGGCCTGGATCCAACCTCTTCTCATCTCCATTGTCCCCAGGAGCACATGTTACAGCACACAGGCTGTATATAGACAAAATGTTCATACGCAAAGTCTAAAAAGTTTTTTTCATTAATTAAAAAAAAAAAAGAGTCTGTTTATTAGTAACCTAACAAGAAATAAGAAGGATTCAGGGCTTTGACTATAAGACTAAGGCATTGAGCTGAGGCTTCACATGCATGAAGCTCTAGCTGTGACCAAAGAAGTGCGGAAAGAAAAGCAAGTATTATATGTAGACAGCAGAGAGCAGACCAGGCCTTTGTCCTCTCTCCTATCTGGATGTTCCATACAGTTGTAATGGTGGCACTTCTGGAAGAGCAGGGGGCTTGACAGTTGGTCAGGGTAACAGCGTTTGCTTCTC